TGCAACCTCAGCTTTTTTTTATTCATTTCCATTTGCATGAAATATCTTTTTCCACCACTTTCAGTCTTTGCGAGTCTTGTGCTATCCTCTCTTTTGATGGGAGCAGTTAGTCCATTTACATTTAAAGTAATTATTGATGGGTATGTAGTTATTGCCATTTTATCATTAATTTTTCTTCTTCTTAAAGAGGACCCTTTAACATTTCTTATAATACTGGTTTGATGGTGATGAAGTCCTTTCGGTTTTTTCTTGTCTGGGAAGCTCTTTGTCTGTCCTTCAGTTCTAAACAATAGCCTTACTGAGTGATCTGTGTTGTAGATCCTTGCTTTTCATCTCTTTAAATATTCTGTGCCAATCCCTTCTAGCCAGCAAAGTTTCTGTTGAGAAATCAGCTAACGGTCTTATGGATGCTCCCTTGTACGTAACTGTCTTTCTCTTGCTGCTTTTAAGATTCTCTCTTTGTTTTTAACCTTTGACACTTTATTTTTTCTTTTTTAAAATATTTTATTTATTTATTTTTAGAGAGGGAAGGGAGGGAGAAAGAGAGAGAGAGAAACATCAATGTGAGGATGTTGGGGGCCGTGGTCTGCAACCCAGGCATGTGCCCTGACTGGGAATCAAACCTGCGACACTTTGGTTCACAGCCCGTGGTTCACAGCCCACACTCAATCCACTGAGCTACACCAGCCAGGGCTGACACTTTAATTATGATGTGTCTTGGCATGGACCTCTTCGGATTGGTCTTGTTTGAGACTCTCTGTGCTTCCTGGACTTCTATGTCTATTTCTTTAGCCATATTATGGAAGTTTTTCATCATTATTTCTTTAAAAAGGTTAGCAATTTCTTGCTTTTTCTCTTCTCTTTCTGGTACCCCATGAGGCAAATGTTGGTACATTCCATGTTATCCCAGAGGCCACTTTTTAAAATTCTTTTCTCCTTTTGCTGTTCTGATTTGGTGTTTTCTACTACCTTGTCTTCCAAATCACTGATTGGATCCTCTGCTTCATCTAATCTGCTCCTTCCCACTAATGTGTTCTTCACTTCTGACTGGTTCTTTTTTATGTTTTCTATCTCCATTTTTATGTTGCCTGTCTCTTCATTCAAGTTCTCACTGAGCTCATCACCTCTTTCCCCAAGTTCACTGGGCATCCTTACGACCATTGTTTTGAACTCTGCACCTGGTAGACTGCATTTTGTTCAGTTCTTTTTCTGCAGTTTTGTTCTTTCCTTTCATCTGAGACATGTTTCTTTGTCTCCTCATCTTGGCAGCCTCCCTGTTTCTTTCTGTGCATCAGGGAGATATGCTACGTCTCCCAGTCCCAACAGAGTGACCTTCCAGAGTATGTGTCTTATGGGGCCCAGTGGTGCAGTCTCCCTGGTCACCTGAGCCACGTGCTCCCAGGATGTCCCTTGTACCCTCCTGATTTGGTTAAGCCTTGATTGCTTTTGGAATGTCAGTGGGTAGGACTGACCCGCAGGCTGACTGGCTGTGAAGATTGGCTTTGACTGTAGCAGGCGAGCTACCATGTGGCACCTGACCCACTGCTGCAGAATTCCCTTTAGCATAGTTCTCATGCCTGCGGAGCCTACCCTGTGGGTATGCTGTTTGTGGAGCTAACTGGGTGGTGCGCTGGTGTGGTCTGAAGCCAGCCACTGGATGTGTTAGTTTGGAGGCCTCCTGGGAGGTGCTCTTGTGCAGGCAAAGGTAAACTGATACCTGTGCCCACCTGGAGCCACCTGGCAGGAGCTACGAAGTTACCAGTGGTTGGTCGCTGCCTGTCCTGGGTTTGCAGGCACCTGAGAGAGGCTCTGCTGCCAACCGAGGCCAGATGCCATTACTGCCAAGCTTGGGGTCACTTGGCAAGAGGTACAGGGCATGCTGGGGCTAGACACTGCTTATTTCTGAGGGGTTTGTGGACTTCTCAGAGATTTTATGAAAGTCCTCAGCGCAGGCTCAGGCCAGCTGCGGGTAAAGAAAAGCTGCTGAAAGAGGTTCCAGCCTGAGAGTCAACTGCGTCTCAGGGAATTCCCTGGGGTCTCAGGGAATTGCCAGGGTGGGTGAGAGCAGTGTGAGCCTGGTTAATGGAGACTCAGACAGACAGGCTGGGTGGGGGAGGGCTCAACAAAGGAAGAGGGGTGCCTGCCCTCTGCCCCTCTCTCTGCCACTCCAGCCCTTGCCCCGAAGCCGAACAGTTCAGTTCCTCCCTGTATGCCCCTGGTGCTTTCCCCGCTGCTGTCCCTAGTCTGGAGCTCAGAGTGAGTGAGTCTGTACTCAGCCCTGTAAGAGGACACCTGGGATGCCAGCAGCCCCCCGTTTCACCTGGACGGAGTCCCCACTGATTTTCACAGCCAGAGGTTTACGAGGACTCCTCTTCCTGCACCGGTGTTCCGGGCTGGGCGTCCTCGCCCCTCGGGGGGCACATTCCAGCTGAGATATCCCTCCGGACTCCTAACCGCCACAGGCGGGTGTGGGGCCAGCCTGTCCCGCATCTCCACCCCTCCTACCAGTCTCAGCGTGGCTGCTGCTTTACGTCCTTAGTTCAGGACTTCTGTTCAGCCGGATTTCAGGTGACTCGGAATGACGATGGTTCTGTAGTTGTAATTTTGAGTGGTCTGGGGAGGTTCTGAGTACCACGCTTACTTCTTCAGTGGAAGGTCTTCAGCCAGCCCTTCCATTGCTCTTGTGTGTCTAGGTTAACACGTCTTTGAAACGCCAGAGGTAACCCTGGAAAGGGGGTGTTAACCCTCAAGAGAACACACCATCTTAACTGTCCTGCAGTCCAGTCCCGGCCTTGCATTCTCCACCTCCAGGTGTTTCCTTTCTTAATTTCAAATGTGTAAACGCAGCTGTGAAACTTATTTTCCCAAGAGTCTGAGATCTTGCTCCTTGGCATATGTTGTGAGTTTGTCTCAAAATAAACACAAAAATTCTCTATTGTCAACATTTCTTATGTGGACAGTAACACTGATGATTTATCAATGCTTATTTGTTTAGAGCAACTCTGAATTAATAGCTGAAAAAGTAACTTAATCTAGGAGAAATGAACACTATGGATTTCGATTTCACTGGAAACACTTAAAGGAATGTTTTTTTAAATGTCATTATTTAGGATACACCACTCATTTTCATAACTTCTAGGAAGCACACCAAAAGACTTTACTAAGACTTATGAAATGACTGTCACATAATTTCTGTTTCTCTTTCACTTAGAGGTGACCTGCTTAGCCCAAATACCCACACAAGTCGGGAAACTGAAATATTATTACATTTCTGCAACTATTTTGTCATGTACTTTATGCATTACCTTAAAAATGTACGAGGGGTGTGTGTAGTGTTACCTTGTTTGGGAGTGTCTGTGAGCAAAAGCATTTGAAGGCCACCGCTCTGAAGGGCCTGCAATGGGGAATGGTCCGGCCTGGACCAGCTGACTAATGGCGTGGAAGAGTTTTCCGGAGTTGGAACTGTATTTCACGGCCATTTCGCTGGGTATTCTTGACCCTCGATGGCAGCCAATGCCAATGGGATTCGGGTCCAGGATGCTATGGTCTTCCCACTATCCAAGTGTGGTCTGGGATGGTTGACCCGAGGCTCTCTCTGGGCTGTTGCAGGGGGCCAGGCTGCCCCTCCTCCCCAGGGCTTCCCCTCCTGAGCACTGCTTGGGAGCACTCCCTACTCTGAATCTTAACCCCCCTGTGGCTGTCCCCCGCCAATGGGGCCTGGCAAGAAGTCTGAAGCTTCTGACCCACAGACTGCCCCTGCCTATTGCCAGGAAGCCCCACCCACTCACCCCTCTGTGACCCTCAACTTCGAAATGGAAAGCTCAGCAGAGCCATTAAGTGAGCAGAGCTGATACAAAGCGGGTTCTAATCTCATCTAATCTCAGCTCTGTCATTGATTTATTTATGTTTTAAATTAATTTATTTCTTAAAGGTTTTTTTAATGTTTTTTTTTAAGGGATGGACTGTTTTGTTTTTTTTTAAGATTTTATTTATTTATTTTTAGAGAGGGAAGGAAGGGAGAAAGAGAGAGAGAGAAAGAGAGAGAGAGAGAGAGAGGGAAACATCAATGTGTGGTTGCTGGGGGTCATGGCCTGCAACCCAGGCATGTGCCCTGACTGGGAATCGAACCTGCGACACTTTGGTTCGCAGCCCGTGCTCAGTCCACTGAGCTACACCAGCCAGGGCTATTTCTTAAAGGTTTTTTTTAAAAAGATTTTATTTATTTTTAGAGAGGGGAAGGGAGGGAGAAAGGGGGGGAGGGAAACATCAATTTGTGGTTGCCTCTTGCACACCCCCTACTGGGGACTTGGCCTGTAACCCGGGCATGTGCCCTGACTGGGAATTGAACCAGTGACCCTTTCATTTGCAGGCCGGTGCTGAATCCACTGAGCCACACCAGCCAGGGCTCAGCTCTGCCATTCATTAACTATCATTAGAAAGGCAAGCTATTAAACCCTCCTAGCACCTCAGTTTCCTTACCTATTAAATGGTTATAAGGACTACATGTGATACCGAGCTGATGGTGTACAAGAGTTTAACAAATAAGAAGATTACTATTATTATTCAATGTAAGATTTGGAATTTACAAGTGAACTCAATCAAGGAAACAGTGGGACTCAGCGGACTCCCTTCAATGGAGCGCCTCGGAGGGGGTGGGGCGGGAGGGAGCCCAGGCTCCGCTCTGAGGGCTGGGGCTGCCGATCGCCTCTGGCAAGGACAGCCCCTCACTCCTGGGCAGCTGCCACCCAGGTACACAACCACCAAGCAGGGACCCCCGTGGCTGTTTTCCCCCACAGCTGGGCTTGTCCCAGAAACACAGGAGTGTACACGGGGGACCCTAGGGCTGTCACAGAGCCAGCAGGGTCCTTGCTAACCTCCCACGCGCAGCATACACCCCTTCCCCTGAGCATGCCCCTCCCTGTGGGTGCCCGAGACAGCAGAAGCGGGGCAGGCCAAGGGGCCCGGGGCCCCCGACTGGCCCAGCCAGGGAGGAAACCCACCTGAGCAGTGATGAGACAAACGAGGACCGGTCTGGCCTGGCGTCCACTGTGTCATCACTCCCCGAATCCCCAGCTCCCTGCTTCCCCGCAGAGCCTTGGCCTTCATCGTCTGCCATCTGGGAGGAGAAAAACAAAACAGGAAATTGGGATCCAGTGTGGTGTCTTTAAACAGCACTCCTTAGGTGCCACTGTTTTCCCCTCAGCCTAGAGACGAGCCGTCTTGAACACGGAGACTCCAGGCCTGGGCTCCCACCCCATCAGCTCATTCACAGGCTCGAATGCCGACTCTGTTTCAGGCACTGTTGCAGAGAGGGGGACACAGTGGGGAGGACAACCAAGTCCCCACGACATCCAGCGGCCACGGCTCTGTTAAGTGTGCCCTGAGTGCGAGGAGCTGGGGAAGGCCCTTCGAGGTCTGAGACAACAAGAAACTCCCCCCAGTTCCTGCCAGGTGACGAGGTGCTCATCCTCTGCCTGCACGGCTCAGAGACCCAGTGCAAGACAGGAGCGCACTGCAGCATCAGGCTCTCTCTCTGTTTCTCATGGTTTTTCACGGTTTTACCCAAAACGGATGTCCTCAAATCTATCTGAGGCTCAGTCATCTTCAAGAGACTCCTGTGATCTAAAAGTTCAAATCTAACCCCATGTCCTTGGATGTCAAGGCCCTTCGAACTACGGCCCACTGCCCGCTTCTCAGTAACGTTTTACTGGAATAGTCACACCCGTTCATTGACGAATCGTCGGTGGCTGCTCTCCCCACCACAATCTGAGCTGAGTAGCTGTGACAACAGGTAACAGCGCCCGTGAAGCCTACACGACTCACGAGCTGGCCCTTCACAAAACGGGCGTGCTGACCCCTGATCCGGGGAAACTGTCAGCCAAGAGGATCCCCTACTCACCTACTACTCCCTCTGCGCTGAGAAACGAACAGTGTAGGGATAGAAACTCAGATTTGTTACTGGTTTATCAACGTTACTTTTTCAGTACTCCCAATAACACTGTCAGATCATCCTTACGACCAATAACACTGTTCGATCAGCCCTCCGATAACTGCCTTTGGACAGATGAGGAAGTTGAGGCTGAAAAAGGTTAATGACTTGTCGCAGGTCACGTAACTCGAATACAGTGGGACTCAGGTGGAGGCCAGCAGCGAGCACTCCAGGCCACCCCTTGCCCTCGCACCATTAGCTCCCAGCTCCGGGGAGTCCCTGGGTGCACCATGCTCATTTCGGGTTCTGTCTGGGCTCATGGTTGGTTCTCTCTTCCGAGGAGTCACCGCCCACATATTTGCTGACCATGCCATCTTTGCCCCTGTGGTTTAATTCTCCATCTTCAGAATTCGGTGTAAATGGCACCTCTGCAGAGAGGTCCTCCTTGATGACTCCTATTACATCAACACCCTCCACCCACCCAATTCCCATTCCCTTTACAGCCCTGGTATTTGTCTTATCTATTTGCACTCTGCTTATTGCTTGGCTCAGACATGACAATGTAAGTTCATTATTGCGCAGGTGCCTGGCATGCAGGTGCCTGGTTTACTGAATGCATATTAAGTGAATGAAAAGCTGGGAAGAGAACTAGCTACAAGTGATGCAGCTCGTCAGAAGCAGAGCCTATTCTAGTGTCACTTCCCCTAAATCAACTCCCATTTCCTTTACCACAAAGGGATCGGCCTCAAGAATGAAGGGACAACTCTCCAGCCTGTAATCTCCACTGGTCCCAATCTCTCAGCCATTGCACAGAGCACTCCCGAGGTGTCAGGTGTAGGCGTGCATTCTGATGGGGCCCCCTCGGGCATGTCTGCACTTGACTGGAAAACAAGAAGGCACTGATCTGTCAGAGCATATTGTCTCCCAGAGCACAAGGAATGGCTTGTGGAAGGTGGAGGTGAGAAGGAATTCCAGAAGGATACCTCTGGGAGGTGTCCAAGACCGCAAAACATCCACCTAGTGGCCTTGAGATCTGAGTGGAATTGTCATGTCGCCTTCTAGCTCACCTTAGGGCTGAACTGGGCAGTGAGGGGAGAACTGAGAGGGAGGGAGACTTCCACACCAGATCTGTACGATGACCATTAGAAGCCAGGTGGCCTCCCTGGATCTCTGCAGGTCACAAACGCCCCTCCCATCGCCACCAATGTGTTTACAGCTTGGAGGCAGATGGGTTTTTCAGATTAGGACTCAAAATGTATCTCGAAAACAGAGATAACCCTATCCCCAGAGATAAGGGGGATCCAGGCACTCAGAATTGCTCAACAGCTTTTATTTCATTTCCTTAATATAGACTTAATTACCTTTCATTGTGGATTGGTATTTAGCAAAGCAGTAAAATATTTTCAAAATGAGCAAGTTTGAGTTACATAAGAGCCACCAGAAAAAGACACATTAACTTCAACACATGGTGTGAATGAAGCCTTGAGCCTTCGATGCCACTGTCTTAGAGGCTGAATCTGGGCAGTATGTTGATAAAATGGCGTGACCTTTATGTGTAAAAACCTTCTGCAAAATAGCTCTTTTAATATTGTTGGGACCAATGAGAAGTCATTTGATGAGTGTTTACTCCATGTCTATTGCTCCAGGCAGTGTGCTAGGGCCGGGAGGGGGGAGGGGGACTATACTTTGTAGCAAACTGGCCTGCTCCTGCCTTGTGTGGGAAGAGGCTCTGCTCCCCAGAAAAGCGTGCCACAGATGTCGGGCTGCTGCTGTGGTGTGTGCAGGGTACCAGGGGACCCAGCCTCAGGACGTGGGGGAGGTTCTCAGGGGAGGAGCTGTGTGACCTGAGATCTGAGAAGGGGAAGTAGGGGGTGGGGGTGGGGCGATGCAGGCAGAAGGAACTGCACACTTAAGAAACACCTAGCCTGCTCCATCAGAGGAAAGGCGCAGCTCATATACTTTCTTGGCCACTTGTAGTTACAGACCTTCGGCCGCCCATAGCTACAGAGGGGTGAAGTTCAGGCTGATTTCTACGGCTCTGTGGTGGGAGGCTTTCTAGAACTTCCCCTCCAAACACTAAGCCAGGAGGGTCTGCGTGAAACCCACACAACATCTTTCTGGGGTACTGCTGCCCACTGTCGGGGTGGACAGCAAACACCCCTTCTAACAACCTGCCGAATGTCTGTCTAAAACATGCCAGTGTGGTGGTGGGACTTGACTCTTTTAAATCTGTAAGGCCAAACACTCAGTGACTTTCTTATGCCCGGGAAGCTGGGCTTGATTTTCGAGTGCAATCAAGTTCACCCAGAACGAGGGCAGTGACCAAGTGGGGTGCCTGATCTCAGTCACATCACGTCAGGCAAGCCGAGACTTGGTGTTGACCCCTTCTTCCCATGTGTCCTCAGCCCATCAAGGAAATCCAGGCCTATCTCAGCTCTCCCGTGCCTGAAGAGGCCACATCTGGAGTAGCTTTCCTGTATGTGTTCCCTTCCTGGGGTGCAGGCTCCGAGAGCAGTCAGTCATTCACGGGACACTGCATACTCAATTGTTAAATACATGTACCTTCTCTTAAATACATTCATACATGATATACATAAAGCATTAATAGTACCAGGCACTCCAGGGTAGTTATTATTATGATTATTACTATTGCTGTTATCCACTATGACTCTATTTTGCAGATTGAGAGCTGATCTTAATCATCATTTTTTGTTCTAGGCACAGAAAAGTGCCAGGTACCACAGCAGGCACTCAATAAATATTTCCTTAAAAGTGTTCTAACTGAAATGTACTTAAAGTGTTTATGTTACTCAGTGTCCCAAAAGAACGGTTGATATGGGACACACAGCAGAACCAAAGGGACCCAGGGGAGGCCATGGAGAGCCCAGTCGTGGTGAAGAGCAGATCAAGGGTTAAACTGGCTGCTCCCCCTGTTAACCAGAGGACCCTGACCAAAGCATCCAACCTCTCCAAGCCTCCGTCTCTTCATCTGGAAACTGAGGCTGAATGGAACAATGCATGTAAAATGCTACGCACAGTGTGACCCATTCTAAATGCTCAATAAATATTCCCTATTATCACCACTGCCCGCACCACTCAAGACTATGAAAACATTCGACTGTCAACCTTCACTGCTATTTTAAAATAACATTCATATTTTAAGCAGCTTTTACAGACACTGAAAACTAAAAACGTTTTTGTCATTATTTCTATACACGCTTCACAGGCGAGTGGGTACACATCTGGTGGGAAATCGCTTCTCAGCTACTTACTGTCTGACCTTTTTTTTTTTTAATGGGGGGAGGGAGTGCAGCTGCTTCCTCCCAAAACTGATGTAATACCACTTGCACCCCACTCTTGGCCCAGTGAAGACAGTCCTCCTGTGAGGCTCAAAGAGAAGCAGCCCCTAGGACCCCCACCTCTCTCCCCCAGCACTGGGAGAAGAGGGGGCTCCGGGGGCATTCAAGTGCTGCACTGGCACCTGATACTCAGAGCATTGCTAGGAAACTGGAGCCTTTACCCCTCATTGCACAAGAAACTTTGATATCTTCGAAGAAAAGGCAGACGTGTACCTATGCATTACCTGTCTATCGAGAATGAAGGTCAGGCTGTATATAGGTCCTCAAGGAGGAAACAGACAGTAAGCAAACAAAAGTTAGCGCCCAGATGTCTGCCAGTCCAGAAGTTCAAGGAAAAAGGCCTGGGAATGACACAATCACCTACCAGTAAACGTACTGCCCCACAAACAGCAAACTTGAATACGCTAATGAAAGGTTGTAAGGTAACCCGGCAGCCTGAGAGTCCTGACTTTTTTCACTTCCTCAGGGGATCTTCAAGGGTCCTGCACAAGGGTGCCGGCGCAGTGCTGATCGTAGCCCACGTGCGGCATACTAAGCCCTGACAGAGGCGATCGGATGCTTCTATCCTCGCTGCAACCTTTAGCCAGGCCCTCCAAGCTGGCAAGCAGGGACGCGGGAACTGCAACGTGAGGGCTGTCAGCCCTGCGAGAGAACCGCTCCTTCCCTTCCAAACCCACCTCTCCTTTTCCAGCAGCACCGGGTGACGCAAGCTCGCTGGCTCGCAGGGGAGGTCAGGCGGATCAAAGCGAGCAATGCTGGGGACGCGGAGAGCCCTCGCCTCAAAGTTTCAGTGCAAGCGGTCGGGCCTCCTAGCTGCAAAGGACCGGCTCCTGGCAGCCTGGCAGCCTGGCAGCCCTTGCTCTAGGCGGAAGGAAGAACGCGCGGGACAGACGGGAGGACGGAAGAGGGGCTTAGGGGGAGGAGGTGCGCTGGGAAGCGGGAAAGACGAAAGGAGAGGCGGGAGCCGAAGTTACCGTTCCTCCGCGGCCAGAGCTTGCGGCCGCCTCTGTCCCTCCGCAGCTAGCGTCTGAGGCCACTCTCATAAAAACGAAAGTAAAAGCCGCCACGCTGGAGTGGGAGGAGTCGCCCGCGACAGTTCGAGGGGCCAGTGTCCCGACTCGGGACAGTGCGCTCTCCCAAGGGGCGGTGCGCACCGTCGCGGAAGAGAGCGCCCTGCAGCTGACGGCGAGCAACTGTCGTGCGCACCGTGTCGGGGCCGGGAACCGGGGCGCCCGATGCAGAACGGGTCGCGCGTTCCACAAAGTTAGTCGCGTGCATAGCCCAGAGAGAACACACCCTCGCAAAGTTGGTCGCCAGCAAAATGGCCTGGTTCACTGCTCACAGAATCCCCAGAGAGCTCCCTCCGCACAGCTGCCGCGCCTACCGGAGAGGGCGCAGGTCAAGTTTGCAGAGATGTCTGAGATCCTACCGCCCAGCTTACAGCGGAGAGGAGAGGGCGCTCTGCAGATTTGGCAGAGCTCCAACGCAGCGTTCTCGGTCACGCAAACGGTAGAGCCGGCCCCCAGGATTCCTGTCGCTAGAAGATGCGGGGGGCGAGGGGGGCGGTGCTCCTCAGAGCCTACCCCTCCCCTGCGCTCCCTTTCCGCTGCTGCCCCCAGTCTACACCTCGACTTGGGCCTCAGCACCAGTTCAAGGGCCCAGTTCCCACACCCTTACAGCTCTTTGCCAGACGGACCCTTGATCCCAGTCTTGGGTGGTTCGCACGCTCCCGGTGGCTCGGCGGGCACATCGGCATAAATTACCTTCTTCCAAGGCGGAGCCCCGCACGCTACTGTGGGATGCGCTGTGGCCTTCCGGGCTCCCGAAACTTGTTCCCACGCTGGGGAGTGGCTATCTTCGCAAGCGGGAGGTAGGATTCTAACTCAGCTTTCAGCAAGTTTCCACCTCAAATCACAGTCTACGTGTCCTGATGTAGCGCCCGAATCGTCCCCAAAATATTAATGAGCGCCCCCACGTGTCAGCCACTGGGTTTGTAGCCGTGAGTTAGTTTAAAATGTGAGACTGTGTGCTTCCACAGATGCCACTTCACTCCTACCTCCAAGCCACCCCCACTTCACACCAACGCATACACACACACACACGTCTTTCTTTATCCTTTTGGCCTCCAACGGAGACCTCCAATGCCTTTCTCTCCAGGACTCCTGGGGGGAGCAGCTAGTTAACTCAGTTGCACTGAGGTGTACATATTGGAGAAGATATTAGTTGTATTTCTACCAGAGATATTTGTTCGTAAAGAACTATCAACACCTGCCCTGGCTGGCATAGCTCAGTGGATTGAGCGTGGGCTGTGAACCAAAGTGTCACGGGTTCGATTCCCAGTCAGGGTACATGCCTGGGTTGCAGGCCATGACCCCCAGCAACCGCACATTGATGTTTTTCTCTCTCTCTCCCTCCCTTCCCTCTCTAAAAATAAATAAATAAAATCTTAAAAAAAAAAAGAACTACCAACACCAGGAGTGAAGGGAGAGAAACTTCGCGGTGTGACATCAGGCAAGAACCTCACCTTGTCTTATTGTATGCTTGCTTTTCTCTGGGCCTGAGGTTCATATTGTCTCTAAAGTCTCACCAGGTAAGGACAGTTCGTTGGTTTAAGAAAGACGGGTCCCAGACAAGTGTAAAGGAATGATTATAATTTATTAACTTATGTGAAAACCCTGAATTCCTTAATATTTTTCTTTCACAGGCAGTTATGCTCTTTCCCAATATGGCTGTTCTCTAGGCTATTTGTATCCACCCAATTCCCCCTTGAAATGAACATGCAATGGGATGATGCTAGGGGATGGGGCCTTTGGGAGGTGCTTGTTAATGAGCGTGAAGCCCTGGCAAATGGGACTAGTGCCCTTATAAAAGAGGTAGACAGAGCTTCCTGGCTCCTTCCACCTTGTGAAGACACAGAGCGAAGGTGTCCTCCGCAGCTGGGAAGAGGGCCTTCACTGGAACTCGACCCTGCTGGCACCTTGATCTTGGACGTCTAGCCCTCAGGACTGTGAGAATTTCTGTTGTTTAGAAGCTATCCAGTCTGCAGTATTTAGTTATAGCTGCCCAAACACAGCAAGGCAGCATGTAGGACTCATTAACACCCATGTTCCTGAAATGTTGGGGGTCACTTCCTTTGTTAAGGAATTCAGTTATGAATCGTTTGAGAAATGAAACATTTTAATAGTAAAGCAAATAAGTTGCTCTCGAATTCATGTATAATTTACACATGTAACGTTTTGCAGGGTATTCCCCTGAAATAGAGTGGAACCGTGCTAGATGCGGAAGGGGCCTCGGCAGTCAATCTCTCCGCTCATTTTCCGTGGAACCTCTGAGGCTCGGAGAAGTTGCCCACGTCACATACTTGCGAGCGGCAGAAGCAGGCGCACGTTGTGTTGGAGACATAATGAATTTTCCATCCATAAGGCTTTATCATAAATTATATCATGGCAACGTTCACAGGTGTCAAACACTTGAATTTATTGCTGGCTCGGGAATACAGTTTGAAGGATAACTTTCTTTTTTTAGTTCTTTACTGTGGGCTGGTGCGGGAAACCACAAAGGTGCCATTGTAAGGCTGGATTATCATCAAATAAAATGTAGTGTTAACGGATAAAATTGGGCGTATATGGAAGGGAAGAAATAATTTTGAATTTTTTCCTGTCTAATAATTATACTGACACTTAGAGTCTAAATGGTAATTAATCTCTTCCAACTGCATTTCCTGTGTCTCTCCAGCCTGGACCCGTGCTGTTATTCTGCGCTTCCTTTCCATACGCATGTGAGTAGAGTTTGAGTCTTCCTCCTTACGCTGGGAAAAAACCCGCATTCACTATTCGGATGGCTGCGCAAGGGCTGGCCTCATGGGTGCCCTCGGGCAGGTCTCTCTGGACCTTGCCTCTGGACTCGGCAGTGGCACCTAGCTCCGTGAGGGTGCTGGCCATGTCCACGTGGGCACAACCAACAGTGCCTTTGGCCTTCTGCTGCCTTTGCCTTTCCCTGTTGCTATGGAGGCGTGAGATGCTTTGGGACTCTGTGAATACATGGATGGCATGGCCCTGCAGGGGAGTGAACACCCCAAGGGGGCAAAACTTTCACCAGTGGGAGACAGAGGCCAGCAGATAAATGCTTCCTTCCTCTGTCAGATGTTCCTGAGTCGTAGCTGTTCAGATGGCCTCTTGGAAGATGGAGCTCAAGCGGTCCCATGCACTTCCTATCAGGCGGTGGCCACCTTGAGGACGAACTCTGCTATCGACTCTCCCTGCTCCATTCCTGCCCCTTGCCCCTGTTCCCTGGTGCACTTCCGAATCAAGTCCTTGCACGTAAGCCTTTGCCTCAGGTTCTGTTTCTGGGGAACCCAGGCTAAGACAGATGATGTCTGAGCCACTCCTGACGGCCAGAGGACCTCCTTGGCTAAGGCCCCCGTGGCCTGAGGTCATCACTGCGACGTGGGGAGGGAGTCGTCTGGATGTGAGGGGGAGGGATGGACACCAGGGAGAACTTGTCTGACCACAAGCAGGTGAGGGCTCTGTGTACCTGCCCCCGGCAATACGCGTTCACTAGGTCCTTAAACTGTCCCATCCGCAGCTCATTGCAGTTGTTTCTCCTCATAAAGTCTGACATCTAATTGGTGCCTTTTAAAAACTTAAGTGACGGTATAAGTCAAAGTTCACATCTTTCATTTTGGCAAGTTTTTTTCTAAGTCCTGTGCAAATGACTTTATTTATTTTTTTTTAAGATTTCATTTATTTATTTTTAGACAGAGGTGAAGGGAGGCAGAAAAAGAGGAAGAGAAACATCAATGTGTGGTTGCCTCTTGCACATCTCCTACTGGGGACCTGGCCCGCAACCCAGCCATGTGCCCTGGCTGGGAATTGAACCAGTGACCCTTTGGTTCAGAGCCTGCACTCAATCCATTGAGCTACACCAGCCAGGGAATCATTTTGGCAAGTCTTGTTTTCACAAGGCTGACCGAGGACATGTAGCAGCTATGGGTGCCATCAACCACCACCTCAGGCCGAGAAGAAGGAGCTTTTTCTTCAGCTGAACTCTGATAGTGGTTCCTTGTCCCTCCTGCCCCCGCCCCACCCCACCCCCTGCCCCGGATTGGGATGGAATTCTTTCTCAGTGATTATTGGGGCTTCCAGCCCTCTTCCTAGGTAAGGCATGAAAAATTCAGCAGAGCGGACTATTCGGGGAAAACTTCAGGTCTTCTGTTTTTGTCTTTGCGGTTCTCTTCACCCAGGCTGCCCTGCGTGTATTATGTTTCTGTGTGAGAGTCTTCCTGAGCCCGGAGTCCCTCAGGAGGTCCCCTTCCCTTCAGGTGCCGGGCCCCAGGGTCTACTATGGGGAGCCTCCGGCTGCACCCTCTGCTTAGTGCATGTGAACTTGCACTTCACTCCTCTTCACTTGCTTTGCAGCCTCCTTCTCCCCGCTGGCTCGCCCAACACAAAAACACCACTGACTTCCCTCCTGCTGCAGACTTTGCAACATACTAATCTTCTCAGAGTGTTTAGGCCAAGGGTCACTAATTGGTAGACCGCCAACCAAATACTGCCCAGGGCCCTGTTGTATTGTTTTGTTCCCAGTGTTTTACAAAACGGAGTTTCCTGTATAAATGCAGATACCGGGCTTCTCTGGAAAAATCGGAATATGGGCAATGCTGGGTACTCATGACAAACTGGCTGGGGTGTGTGTCCTTCCATTTGGGAAGGCTCCTACCATAACCTATGACTTCACCTCTGGCTCCTGTGGGCATTTTGGTGAGAATATTACATTTATTTCATTGATTCCAAGAATAGTTACTGAGCACCTTTTCCGTGTCCATCCTGGGAGTAACCAAGGATCCTGTTCTGATGGAAGGAGACAGATAACTTTAAAAAGCGGAGGCTCCGTCTTTAAGAGGTCAGTTCGTGGAACTGCTGTGAAGAACATAAGACGATGAGGGTTACAGCAGGTTGTGAGCTGAGGGGTAGGAACAGGCGAGGCACCGTCCCATGTAAACTTTCTGGAAGGTCTGTTTTATGGAAACATTTAGGTAGACGCTAAAGGCAATGAAGGGCTTCACAAAACCAGAAAGAGGAGGTGAGTCTCCAAGTCGCCCAGCGTCAGGCCTGGGAGGTGAGGAAACCCACAGGCCTGTTTTGGAACACCGACATCCAGAGGCCCAAACCCCGAGGGTTCTCATTTGTTCTTATTTTTTTTGCATTCTAGCAGAAGCTACACAGAAATTAATATCTTATACTCTGTTTT